AATACACCAATAGAGACTGATCAGTTGCAAACCTTAATTTGACTAAAGCAAACTAGAAAAATGTAGCAAAATAAGGTGAATTTATCTATTTTATGGGTTCGCATTGCTTGTTTGAAACAATAATTAAATATTGAATCCATTTATTGTATTGTTTGTTTGAATCATCCCATTGATGTTTAGGATTGTAATTGATCAGTCTCTTATTGGCATATATGCATCCTGTACGGATTGCTTTGATATTGTATTTAGTTATAAGCATTGTAAACAAAGGTGGACGATGGCTAGCAATGGAATCACTGATTCATGTTTCGTCCTAGTTGAGACTCATCAGTTGGATGTAGTTGCATGTTCACTCCAGGACTCAAACCCAATACCATTTGCTTTAAACGTCATCCCGTTATCCACTTAGCTACTAAGTCTAAATAAGCGTTAGTAATCGTTATGTACAATCAATGTAGAGACTACTTTATATCATATAAAGATAAGTAGAGTAATGAGAGGTGTGGAGAAACTTTTGAATGTTAGACTGGTTGAATATTTGTACGTTGCTAGAGAATGAAAACTGTGTCAGTGAACGAAAATAAAGAGAATTTTTATCGACGAAATCATTTTACTTAAGCTGTAGATTTGTATTTATAACTGTTTGGTGAAAATATAAGTTTATAGAAGGGTACAAGAAATTAGGTCTGTTATAACTTTCTGCTTTTCTTCGTCTTTACAAATGGAACGTTAATATACCTTAAACAAATATCTACATTAGATACACTTTCAATGTATATTCAACAAGACATCAACACGACTCAGATCAAGAATACGTGATTAGTCTGACTAGAACATAAATACATTTCCCCATCATAAACCGACAACAAACCGACACAATCCAAAAACAATCAATAATCAATAATAAGGATAGGAGAATATATAACTCGTCTAACGCCCGTCAGACTATCTATAAATGTGACTAAACAAACAACCAATCATTATCATTCACATCCACACATCAGGATCATAATATGATTGGTGATATCAAATATCTAAAGAGGATTGCGTAATAATAAGGAGGTTAGTGAAGAATAGGTAGATAAAAATAACTTATGGATCAGAAATCTGAAAGATAATTGTTTACTTAACAGATATGAAGAAGAAATAAAAAAACGTGACGGTCATAATAATCATGAGAAATTGTTAGCGGATAATTATAACTGATTACGAGTTAACAGAATACATCAATCGGTTCATGATTTCAATCAAAGGCTTAACAATCTCCACAACCACTCAACTGATAATTACCATGTACTCACTAATGTCTAGCTTCTAAATTGGTTTCTTTGAATTATAACGAGACATCGTAACCAGTGGAGTCCAATCCATGTCGTATGGAGATAGTTATTCACCTCATATAATAAATCAATGTGTTGAGTAAAGGTCATGGATCAATTACAATGAGACATTAACACCATTGCTTATTGATTCATTGGTCTAAAGATTAAATATTCTCTCATGAGACTGAAACTCTTAAGTTCAACTCTCATATGTAGATCCATGAACACACTCTGTTCAGGAGTTTTATACTAAAACGATAACAATCATTTAATGATTGTAAATTCTCATCAATTCAATTGTTTAAATTACTACATTAAATATCATTTATGTATAATCAGAATTGTTTCAATTTCATATTATATTACACTTTAATTCATTTGTAACTATTCATTAAATCTTATTTAGGTTATAAAAATAAAAGATAATCCATTAAATATCTTAATTCATATTATGGAATTCATTATTATCTTCTTATATAGTTACTCGTTGACAATTTGAACTTACAGTTGTCATGTATTATCATGATCACTAGTAACTAGTAACTAATTCATTATTTTTGTTATTCTTAATGTATCATGCAAATATATCATATTTATCAGATTCATTGCATCTTGTAATTACACAATCATTTATACTTGTTTCTGTGTGTATATATACATATATATATATAGAGAGAGAGGGGGGGTACAAGTGTGGGTGTGTGTGTGTACATATGAGTGAGTATATGTACATGTGAACATTGATTACTAGGTTTCTACATGTTCGATATACATATTGAATTCAATTTGAATCAGTGATTGTTTTGTATTTGTTATTCTTTCGAAATAAAAAGATCGTTTTTTTCTTTGTTTATTGAATTCAGGTCAAGAAAAATGGTATGTAACCTGATGAGTTGAAAATTTCATTAGTTTGGTGAATGAAATTTATTGATTATGTATAAGAATATAATGAAGATTTTCAACTTAAAGTAATGAATGTCTAAATGAATTTTATAATTGAATTATTATGATGTGTAAAATGTTGTGAAGATGAATGAGTTTAGATGAATATCATGAATAGATCAATATTAGATCATGATTGAAAACCTGGAAGGACTAGATGGACGTTTCGTTCCAGTATGGGACTTTTCAGCAGTGTGCATTCACGATCCCGAATGTGGGAGTCGAACCTAGGACCTTCGGTCTCGTAAGCAGCCGGATAAGTTCTGGCTAGCGCTGTAAACTGCTAAACATTTAATTCTCTATAAAATAACATGTTTAATAACCCAATCAAAGATCGACAAGCAACCCTTTCAGGTTACCGTCAACTGTATTTATAAATTTACGTGTACCTGCCAAAGCAGCTACATCGGCCGAACTGAAAGGAGAGCATATCTTAGATTCTTTGAACATGTTCCAAAAAGTCTTAGAACAAGGGAAAGTAAGACTCTGAACAGTGCAATCACCAAACATCTCCTTGATACAGGACATCGGGTAGATACCCTACAATCCTTTAGGGTGATTAGTAAGCAGCCAAACTGCAGTCTTCTGAAGTTTGCTGAAGCCATTGCCATCAGGCGTCAAAAACCTGACCTATGTATTCAAAAGTAGACGGTGGTTAATCTTTCCTTGCCCTGGTGACAAATATATTCCTTCACTGCACCATAAAAATGTTTTTTATCTATTTTATTTTTTTAAATTTTTGTTGCATTTATTACATCATTAACTTTATTTTATTTTTTCGACTATCTTTCAAATTTATAATCTTTCAACTGAACTGTACTCACTACATTCCTTCAATGTTATTCATTATGTAATCGATTGTTTCTAACCCATTTTTCAACGGTTGTCACAATTAATGTTGTAGAATATTGTTTCACATTAGGTATATATTTACAATATTCAGTTAGCAAATTAAACCCATTATGCAATTATGATTTTTAAATATCACAGATTGTAAGCAGCTGACGAGAACCTACGAAATAAAATGAATTCATGCTATTCTGCTAGAATCTTTGTTCTTGCTCTAGGACCTTCGGTCTTGTGAGCAAATGGTTAACATTTAGACCACTAAATCGTCACCCAATGGTGCTAATGTCTAATTTCAATCAATTCACGAAATTCCGAGACCATCTTCTGCTGTCTTCAGTGAGTAACTGCTTCTACAACAGACATGGTTGAACTCCACTGGTCATAGCTTCTCACTATAACTACATAGCTAAATTTTGTTCGAATCTCGCGAGGTGTGGTCGTGGATACGCACTGTTGAAGAGTCCCATAATAGAACAAAACAACCGTCCAGCTCTTCCAAGTTTTCCATGATAGTCTAGCTTCAATTGACTGATGATCTCAACCATTAAATTTACTACAATATCCATAAAAACCCCTTTCTTAAAAAAATGATAATTTCTATTTTATGTTCCAGTGTAGTCTGTTTGACCAAATATGTTTCAAAATACATGATTCATAACACAATAACTGAGTTTCATGTTGAGAACTTAACAGGCAAGATTAGTCAATAAAAAGAATCGATAAAGACTATAAACTCCTTTTACATATTTTATATATTATTGATTCAATCAATAGATCATTATACTCTAATTGACAGTATTATTATGTCAATCTATAGTAATAGGAGCTCAAACCCCTTAAGTTACCACAATAATAATATCAAATTGATCATGTCTGTAAACTGGCGTGAACTCTGTAATTATTATTTTCAGAATACGAAATAATAATGATAATTATTATTATTAATACATGATTACATAATAAAAGTAAACTAAATATACATATATATATATATTTTTTTCTTTATAAATAAGAATACAATGGTGACAGTTGTTTATTAAATAATAATAAAGTTCAATTATCTATTAAATTCATGAATGAATAAATAAATTGGTTTTTCCTCTTTTATTTTCTTTTTTTTTGATTTAAAATTTTTAAACTTAATATTTTTTAAATTTTTTATTTTTTATTCTTTCAATTTTTTAATTTTTTTTCACGTTTTTTTTCTATTTTTTATTTTTTTAAATTTTTTACTTTTTAATTTTCATATTTTTAATTTTTTAATTTCTTTCACGTTTATTTTTCTATTTTTTTATTTTTTTAATTTTTTTAATTTTTAATTATTCAATTTTTTAATTTATTAACGTTTTTTTCTACTTTTTTATCTTTTTAAATTTTTTACATTTTAATTTTCAATTTTTTAATTTTTTAATTTTTTTCACGTTTATTTTTCTTTTTTTCCTTTTTTAATTTTTAATTTTTCAATTTTTAATTTTTTAACTTTTTTCACGTTTATTTTTCTACTTTTTTATTTTTTTAATTTTTTAATTTTTCAATTTTTTAATTTTTAATTCTTTAATTTTTTCATGTTTATTTTTTATTTTTTTAATTTTTTTAATTTTAATTTTTTTTTCATGTTTATTTTTAAAATTTTTTTAAATTTTTAAATTCTAAATTTTTAAAAGTTTTGTTTCTTAATTTTTATTTTTTAATTTTTTGATTTTCCGAATTTTTAAATTTTTAAAATTTTTTTCGGTTTTATTAAACCATTCAATTTGTTTTATTCATTATGTAATATCATATAACCATTTTTCATTTTATTTAGATGATTAATAATCGATCATGATTCTTTTCTTTTTCTTTTTTTGTTTTTTTTCTTGAAAATGTTTTTAAAAATATTTTTCTTATTCAATTTTCTTTTACCTTTTTAACTAAACGTTCTTTTTTCCAATAAGCTTTTATATAAAAATTTAAAAATAAAATAAAAAATAGAAAAGAATATAAACATACAATAGTTGGAAATATTTTAGGAAAATTACAATGATGATTGAATGATAGAAATTGTCCTTGATGTATAATAAACCATAAAAATTGTATTAATTGTATTAATGTTACATAATGTTTCCACCATAAATATTGATAATAACCCATTGCTGCTAAACCATAATAAGTATACATAATTATATGAACAAAACTATTGATTAATGGAAACATATATAATACACCACCTAAAAAAGAAACAAAAAAGAAAAGAAAAAAGAGAAGGAAAACAAGAGAAAAAAAGTGAAAAATAAATGTTATGTTTATATGGTGATTTGTCTTGATAATCGTCATTCGATAATGCTTTAATGGTGTATTTTAATCAGAAGCCGAATATGAAGTACAATGGGTACAATGGGTTAGACTATAATTTATGGAGGATCTTTGAGTGACGCTGAAGTGACCTTGAGAGCGTCTACCTACTTACCAGGGCTAAATGAAGGTTATAAAACAATTTAAAGAATAAGGATTATGATTTACAGTTGATAGTTAGGATTGGTAACCAGATTTAGGGTTTTCATCACGAATTAACATTAACTATAATGACAAGAATTTATTTAGCCAAATGGGTGGATGAATTTTGCGCCAAAATCTCTTGTCGTAAATCTGATTGGTTCGTCCCTAAATTATAACCTCGCCGTACAGTTATTTCTTTATTGTACGGATGACTCTATCCGTTAAATATGTTAACAAAAGGACTGAATCGAATTAAGTGTGAACAAACTCAATTGGACGTGAGCTGGCTACATATATTTTTAATACTTTCCGTACATCTAACCTCAGTATATCTTTATTTCATTGGATATAGATATTCTTAACAATATCTCTAAGCTGTTATAATATGAATGTTGGATATTGATACTGATAATCAAGCTTACATGAGTGAGAAAATCTATGGTAGGAGGGAAGATTTTACTGGTCTCATAGTGTCGCATTTCTAAGTAATATAAGTCATTTCTTAGTTAGTTTTGGTTAATTTCTGATTATTCCTATGTATCATAAATAGTAAAGAATCGTTTAGTTCTAAGGTAAATTTGTCAACATTTGAATAATATAGTTATTATTTCTGTCTAATTCATCTAAACATACTTATAACAATCAGTCTCAGACTGTTAATAAAGTAGCATGTGTTTTAATTCACATTATCGATTGAAATCTAATCACCTGGTAAGTTTCAGTGATACTAATTAATAGAACCTAAAACTACATGTTCAAACTTGGTTTATTGACTGATTACTCAGATTTTAAGATATCTGAACTTCAGCCATTAAGTCACAAGTTCGAACCTCACTCAGCCTAGCTTAGTAAGGCCAATAAGGTAGTGTGACTAGATTTCACAATGAACATGACTCAACATCAAGTAGACTATTCTTTTACTGGTAAACGATATAATAATGTTAACATTCGTAAGTAAACTGATCCACATGATTTATTTTTTCTTTATAGCTAACTAGGTCAACCGTAACTATTTCAGTAATTACAAACAATAAAGATATGTGTACATATTAATAAGCGGAAGTCAGTATTTTGATCAAATGGGATACAACCCCCATGTTTATACATTCGCAACCAATACAATTTTCAAATATTTGTTTTTTTACATACTTACCTTTTAATAAACTAATCTATTTCATTGAAACCACAAACTGACACTAGTTAGACGACCATTGAAAAGCAAGAAGCACTGAGAAATTGTTTTGTCTAGTATGATGAGAAAAAGAATTTTTCCTAACAATTTGAAACGTCTTGCTAAGCATCGTGCAAAAATATTCTTATCGATGGAGTTTTGTTCTCTGAGCTGGATGGTTTGATTGTGGGCCTTTCATCGTACTTCTGAACGACATCATCAGCATCAACTCCAACATCTCAAAGATATTCTTGATCTTATGAAAGATAAATCTCATTGGATTTTTTGAATCTCGAGATGACTAAACTCTTAAAGTAGTTTTCTTGTTTTAATGACTGACTTATCCTTATACTATACGTTAACCGTGAAATTGTTTCAAGAATTTGTAATATTTACATTCGTTTAGGGTTTAAGCACTGAAAAGAAGAACATTATGTTAGTGTAAAATTTATCTATAAGATGAACACCTCAGTTATTCAATTTGCAAAGTTCACATACATCTCGGACTATAAAATCCATTACTATTAAGAGTAAAGATGCTAGCCACATCTGATCCTGTGTATTTACTAATGATTTTAACAGATTTCATTATCGGTCAATTTATTCCGAGTTGATAAAAGTATCTTTGCAGGTCTTGGGTTCGAATCTCTCGGGGTGCAGGATCGTGGATACGCACTGCTGAAGAGTCCCATACTAGGAAGAAACGACCGTCCAGTGATTCCAGGTTTTCCATGGTGGTCTAGCTTCAATTGACTCATGAGTTCAACTATTAAGATTTCTAAAATCTCCACAAAACCCCTTCTGATGATGAACCGATTGTTCAGAATATAATGATTAATGTCATTTTTTGGCTAGTATTTATTGATTAAATTACACTTTAGCCATTAGTTTAAATGACTCGACAGTGTGTGAACTATATCGAGATGTTAGGTGATTGGTTGTGATCGAAAAGAAATTCCTCTTCACCTAGATCATGTGTTAATTTGCACTCATCAATAAAGTATACTTTTTATTTCGAGGGAAATGATGTTCATTTGAGGATTCGGAACCATGTCACTTAGCTTCGTAATCTGAGATTAGTTGGCGCCGAACCATCTGGATCGAGATTTATCTTCTGTAGTATTAAGTTACCCTCAACCGAATAATCACTAATTATTGAATAATGTCATATTTGTCTAATTCTTTTAAAGCTGATTAGATTCTAAAGTCGATGTGATTTTTTGCCAATGAATGTAATAATTCTAGAGGGGTAGAAACTCTAAAAATGTAACAAACTAAAAATTTAAGTGAACACTACATATCATTATAACTCCAGATGTAGCTCCTCTGGAGTTACTGCTGATCCCAAGCTCACACATAGGAGGAGGGTTGGGTATGGGATCGGCAAATCTATTTCGTATAAAACCTTGCTAAAAAATGTTAACCAAACTAAATCATTTAAATTCTACCCCAGGGAGTTGAAGTAAGAATTGTGACGCCTTATGATGGAAGGTGAGATTCTTTTGAAGTCACGATACTGATGCCCCTTCTAACAACCAGAGCACCACTTAATATAAGTAATATATCATTGCCAAGACTTGATGATTTCAAATAAATTGTATAGTAGGTATATTGTTGATTATAAAAAGAATATATTTTTAATTTCTCAACAAATAAAAAATTACATTTTTCGGTGTTTCCTCACTCAGTATAAGCTGCTTCTTCGGTAAATAAATAAATGAATTAGATTAACAAAGGGGGATTTGTGAAGATTGTTGAACTTTCGCAGTTTAATTCATGATTTAATTTTAGATAGACTAATGCTAAAAACCTGGAAACACTAAATGGCTATTTCGTCCTGATCCAGGACACGTTATTGGGCATTGTACATCCATAACCCCGACATGTTTGTGTATTTGTGTGAGTGTGGAAAATGTGATATTTGTTATGCTAAAACATAGAGTTGAATTCGCATATATAATAATGATATGAGCTTTAAATCAAATTAAATATGGTAGCCTGGATAAATGGTTCTGTTACCAGTATGGGGTTTTGATGATTGTTGAGTTTTTAGTTCAGATCATGTGTCAGTCGATGTTAGACCGCCAGTGAAAACCTGAAAGTACTTGACGACCGTTTTGTCATAGTATGGAACTTTTCAGCAGTGCACATCCACGATCCTGTACACGGCCTTCGGTCTCTGGCGCAAATACTAAATCTCTCGACCACTGAGCCGTCATCCGACGGTGTTAATGTCATGGATGCTTACTGCTGAGGAGTCTCATACTATGACGAAAACGGCTATCCAGTACTTTCAGGTTTCAATAATGGTCTAACATTAGTCGATTCATGATCTCAATCATACATGGTTGCAGTTGGATGATTTATTAGTCAGTAACAAAATTTCCTTGCTTAAAGCATTTCAAAAGTAATAATTCAACATTCCAGTTGTCTTATAATTTTATTATTTATTTATTTATTTAAACACATAAACATCGGTACAAGGAGGCACTAAGTAGATATGCGCCACATAAATCATCCGATTTGTGTGAGGGCTGTTATACTACCCGGGTGCCCAGACTGAAGCAGGTGGTTTTCTTAGGGGGCCACACCCCGAGCCTTAAACATGAAGGTTTGACCCACAAGGCAGTGGAGCATCGTTAGGAGATGCAGTCCAGTGGTAGCCGGTGACCAACGATTGGTTCATACGTCATGTGCACCATTGGTTTGGAGTCTGGTTAAAGCGCCGGATATTGGCTTTTCGTCTTCTCAATTTCGTAAACAACACCCCCGCCACGAGAAGGCAGTGAATAGAACTTCCCTGGCGTTGGTTGTTTGCATGTGGCCGTGTAACAGTATTTCGAGAAGGAGGGTGGGCCCACCCCACTCCCGATCATACTAGGGTATTCGGGGTGGGCAGTTTCCTTATAAAACTTCTTTTCGATCTATCTATACATATAGATTAGTTATCAGCATATGTTGAAGGAAAACATTTAAAAAAAATGAAACAATAACCTATTTAACAATTCATAAACATTAATACATTAGAACTTACCTGGTGCATATTTTAAACCCCACCATACGGATGGTGGCATTGATGCATGATGAAATACATGTAAAAATGTTACTTGATCCACTTTATTACGATATAAAAAAAATATTGTATCTAACATTTCAATAAATTTTGATATAAAATATAAATAACCATAATATATTAAATAATCTGTTAGTTTATCATTTGGATTTGGTAATTCAATACAACCTAAACCATAATTTAATTGATATATAACAATTAAACTAGATATTGTTAAATATATAAAAAATATAACCATTATAAAATTATATAATACCATATAATATTGAATTGATTGTTTATTATTTCTTTTTTTTATATTCTTTTCATTCACATTCTTTTTTATTAATTTTAGACGCCATATATATACAATAATACAATAAATTAATGAAATTAATACAGTTGGTGTCCATGTTGACATGAATGGATAATTTGATAATCTTGGATCAGGTTTTAATGGTAAAAATTGTTGAATAAACCAATCATTCCAATTTTCATACATAATAATACTACTAATAATACTACTAATGAAATTTGTTAATAAGAATGAATGAATTTTATCATAGAATAATGAAATCTTTAATGATAGATTATTGTTTCTTTATGTTCTCTTTAATTATTTTTATCATCATTATTGATTTTATTGTTAGTCTCTTGATTAAATGGTATGGAAACAAACTCAATGAATCAATAAATAGGCAACAATGAATAATCGATTTATTTATTATACTTAATTATGATTGGTTGATTGATGATGATTTTTTTAAAAAAAATTCTATTAACCAATCATATTTCTTTTTTGCTTCTTTTGATTAGTTCAATGTAGATAGGAGAGTTTATAGAATAGACAAATTAGTTGAGACAGAAAGTGTTTAATGTCTGTCTCAAACCCTTCCCTCCCCCCCAAAAAGGAACAGGATGAATTCAATGCCGAAAATTGGAAGGTTCTGTTTAAGAAGTGGAATTATTCTTAGTATTGAATTTATTAAGTAAAACTAGTTACCTGCTATTACATTATGTTCACATTGCCCCCTGGCAACTCTAACTCATTTGAATAATATTTAATATAAACAATATATCACTGAGTTATATGACATATGTATTATGATAGACTTGGTTGATATATTTTAATAATTATTGTAGTGACCAGTGGAATTCAACCAGAGTTTGTTGTGAGATAGTAATTCATTGAAGTGAACGATGGTACAATTTCATGGATTGGTCGAAGTTAAACATTAAAAAACCGTTGGGTATTGGCTCAGTGGTCTAGAGGTTAAGCGTCCACGTGCAAGGCCGGTAGATCCTAGGTTCGAATGTCACGAGAAGGATCGTGGATGAGCACTGGGACGAAATGGTCATCCAGTACTTTCACGTTTTTCATAATGGTCTAGCTTCAATTGATTCATGAATTCAACTATTAAATTACTAAAATTTTGACAAAACCCTCTTCTGATAATTATTACATTATTGTTCCGCGCTCTCTGTTTTCATTTTACACTCTCTGAAGCATAGGCCTTCGACCAGCATTCTCCAACCCACTCTGTCCTGGGCCTCTTTTTCTAATTCCATCCAATTCTTTTTCGTATTCCTCATGTCTATCTCCATTTCCCGGCGTAATGTGTTTCTCTCCTCCTTTGTCCTTGAGGATTCATGTGAAGGCTTGGATTTTGATGCAGTTGTATGCTTTCCTCAATGTATGTCTTATCCACTTCCAGCGCTTCTTCCTGATTTCTTCCTCCGCTGGGATCTGGTTTGTTCTCTCCCACAGTACGTTGTTGCTAATAGTGTCCGGCAAACGGATCTGAAGTATTTTGCGTAGACAACTGTTAATAAACACCTGTATCTTCTGGATGATGTCTTTCGTAGTTCTCCAGGTTTCCGCCCCATACAGTAGAAATGTGTTGAATTTGTGTTGAAAATCTTGATCTTGGTGTTGGTTGACAGTTGCTTTGAGTTCCAGATGTTCCTCAGTTGTAAATATGCTGCTCTTGCTTTACCGATCCGCGCTTTCACATCTGCATCAGATACACCTTGTTCATCAATGATGCTTCCCAAAATGTAAAGGGTTTTACATCTTCCAAATCTTCTCCGTCAATTGTGATTGGATTGGTGCATGCTGTGTTGTATCGGAGAATCTTGCTTTTTCCTTTGTGTATATTGAAACATACCGCTGCTGAGACTGCTGGTACACCGGTCGTCTTCTCCGTAGAGTTGCGGTTTGATCTGTACACGATCTATCCTTACGCAATCCTGCCTGTTTGTCTCGAAGTTTGGCGTCTACGGAGTCCTTCATTCTGTTTACCAATACCCTGTTGAAGACTTTTCCCGGTATTGAGAGAAGAGTGATGCCCCTGTAGTTATCACAGTTGCTGAGATCACCTTTCTTTGATATTTTGATCAGAAGTTCTTCTTTCCAGTCTATTGGTACTTGTTCCTCATCCCAAATCTTATTGAAGAGAATGTGGAGTGATTATGATTAATTCGTTATGGCACAAGAAATGATCTTAAATGCACCTTTCATAAATCAACATGATGTTCACTTAAAAAGAATTAAAACTTATTGGCTGATGCATTTCATTGCTGTAATACATGGCATAACTATACTACTTAAATAAATTTTGAACTAGTAAACTTAAAACAATCGTATATCACATGTTTCTTCTCTACATTTAGTATTACTATTTATATTAAGCTGGTCATGCTTCAATCACATTAGACTTTGAAGTTGGGTGACATGGATTCTAATCTTATAGGAAGTCTCAATCCCTTAATGATTATATTCACACCTCACTGACGAATGTAAAATTGCATGAAACGTAGGCCCATATGTTTTCGTTTACTAAATTCAACCGTCTAATTCATTAGATTTATTACTTGTTCAGTGAAACAATGATAATTCTTTGAGTTTAAGAACATGGAAGATAATTGACAACTAGATTATTCAGTAGTCAAGTAGTGCTTTAATCTTTTTTTCAGTTATGTTTAACTATATAAATGTGTTTATATATCCAGTTAGATTTGAAAGTTATTTGTTTTTCATTTTTGTTCAGTATACATAATTTTTGTTTATTGTGACGGTGAGCTGTCTCGAATATTCAAAAGATTATTCATACTACGGTGTGTGCTACTTATTTTGACATAAGTAGTAGATGATGTTAATCGTCAATAGAAGGTCTGACACCGGAGAGACAAGAGGATCGAACAATAAAGAATGGGAACAGAATGCAATTTATATGAAAATGCAAGAACAATGAAGTCTCAGTCATTTTGACGCAATTGATGAACATTTTGCTAATTAAGCATTTCCTTTATGATTGTTAGATTTTATTAACAAGTTCTGTAATTTTGTGTTGAATACATTCGATTGTCCCCCACCCATGTTCATGTTCAGTACAATATAACTAGTATATTATGTCACAATTATATGAAGTGTATGCAGTTGGAGTTTGTGATAGCTAGTCTCATTAAATGTAAATATTACAATGAAGTGAAGATTCTCTATAAGGAAATCGATTTATTGACACATATTCTTTTCTGCTGTTCCCAATTAACGGACATGAAAAGACAGGTCAACTAATGCAGCATAGAATGCAGAAGATTATGAGTTACAGATATTGAAGGTCAATAATCAGTCAATGAGATTTGTCCGCCATCATTAGCTTCCATACGAATGAATTTTATATAATAATAGTTTAACACTCGGTTTTCCCTGTCAACACGAATGGGACGCTAATTTGTCTTAGACGAATATCTATACTAGATACCCTTCAAGCGTTTGCCTATTCTAGAGGACATCAACATAACTCAGATCAAGAATATGTGACTAGTCTAACTAGAACGTAATTATATTTCCACATCATGAACTGACAACAATCACAGTAATCATAAGGGTAAGATAATATATAACTCATCTAATACCTACAAGACTATTTATAAGTCTGACTAAGCAAACAACTAATCATTATCTTCCTTACTTACACATCAAATATTATTAATAAATCTCATCCTATTCAAATATATGCTTCTTTTTTAAAGGATTTCAATGTTAAGAGTTACTATTGTGTGTGAATAACATGAGTTCGCTTATTGTAGTTTTCTCATTATTGTTTAATAATAGTTAGTAAAAGTATAATCTACTGACGACCATGGGCAACTTATCAGCTAATCAGAAAACGCTGCCTGGTCATAAAACAATTAACAACACGTAACAATAAAGTAACAGTAGGATAACAGAGTTGATCTGAGTTTATTAAGCTTTATATGTCGAATAATCCTTTGTAGTGAAGAAGAAATGTGGCTAACAATGGAATCCAAGAAACCATTTCGTCCACTTCGGGGATTGTCAGATAGATTGTACCTGCCACTTTCACACAGAGACTTACACTTATTTGAGACCAGTTCAGGTTTCACTATGTCTCACATGAGTACGCCTATTACTCTCACTGTAGGGTCGTTAGGGTTTCTGAATTGGATGCTGTATCATTCGGCGAAGCTAAAAGCAACACAAACCCATGTAATCCCTGCCAACATTAAGTCTAGATTAGAGTTTTAACAAATAAAAGGTGGGATGATAAAGCCTACCATTTTGTTTTCTTCATTTCTCTCACATTTACATTTGCAGAACTTGTATTAATTGAGAAAAGATTTATGTGAGATTACTGCCTTATTCATATCTCATAGTATCATATTTGTTTCTCTTCACAGCTTTCTGCTTTCAGGAAATTAATCAATCTTATGTATTAGAATATTATTTTGAGTATATATAAATGTTTCTATCACATTAATGACCTGCAATACTATCAGCTATATATAAGTGAAATCATGGATGAGCATTATGATCAACCGAACGATATTTCTAATCACATTTTCTAAGGAAACGCTTTGACGGTCGTAGAAACTTGAATGTTCAGATTGAGACATGTTGACTAGTGTTAGAAATTGCTTTCTCTATGTTTGCATGGATTTACATTTAAATAACGATGACCTTCGGTACAAAAGATATGTGACAAAAAACCATTTAATTTCGAGTTTATTTGTTTCATCATTACTTATTTGTGCTCGTGTAATGTTCATTTAATCTGCCATTAAGTTAATTCGGAAAATTTAATTTAACTCCTACTTATTGTGCTTTGTTTGCATCTAATTGACATATTACTGATAAACGTAAAATTCAGGTACGTACATTGCGAATACACTGCTTGGAATCATACCTTTGAAATCTAAGACTAAACTGAAATAACATTTTGTTGGGACGGTATATCCCCAAAATTCATATTTGTAAGTTTTATCATATCGATTAACTTATCGATTAAATATTTGAATGGAAGTCACATGATGAATTTATCGATTAAATATTCGAATGCCTGTCGAGTGATGAACTGAATGAGTCATGTTTAAAAAAAAACATTTTAATATGACAATATCGATTTTATATATATATATATATATATATATATATATATATATATATATATATACGTTTAAATTGTGTCTGAGTGTTCGCTGCTTGCTTGCTCGCTCGCTCGTTTCTCTGGCCGTTTGCAGAATATATTTTCCATACCAAGCCTGGACTTCTCCTTCTAGATAGC